TTCAGAAGTTATTACTTCATTTCACTTGAATAAGCAATTTACTACTTTTAAACTTGTTGTCACTTATTATTTGACGTTGTTCATAGATTCATGTATTTTGGTAGCAAAAAATTTGAAAATGACAATTTCTCGACTTGTATTTTGCAATGATTAAAATGAGGCTAAATTTGATTTTAAAAAACAGTGCCAGAAAATCGCTAATTTAGATGGCAAAAATATAAATCAGAAAAAGCAGGCTGTCGGGACCGTTTCCAAACATTAAAAGTGTGTTACTAATACCGTTTTAGCAGCAGTTAGAAATTACTCATAATTTTAATCATAAAACATTAATTTACATATTTGTGATCAATAAAGTCATTATTCGTGATGAACTACAATAGAGGGAGTAGCTGATAACAAGAAAAAGGAAATTAAATCCGACTTTTATTTTTAAAATATTTCTACTTTTGCTTGACAGTAAGACAAGTTATTGCCTGACAAAAGTTTTTCATATACAGTTTAAAAAAAATCAAAAGATCGAAAGAAAACTTCACCTTTGTCTCATAAGAACTTAGAAAAGGTCAAAGATAACAAATGGATGGCCGTTCTTTGAACAATCTAGCCTAGTCAACAGTGTCCAAAAAACTGAAAAACATTAGGAATTCATATTTAAAAGTTCGCTATTCTGAAATACATTAAAACAAATTCTTTTCAGTAAAGATCGCTTCAATGAGGACAATTTGAACTACAGCATGTGATCGAAGCAATGATAGCATCATGTGAAGCTAAGGATGATAAGCTTTCCATACCAAAATATTATCCTAAAGTCTTTTCCATAAGCTATAAAACAAATAGGAACTGGAAATGGTATCCGGGAAAGACCGTAGGTCAACGACAGAAACAGATACTATACAGGTCACTTGCTTTGAACTTTGAATGCAGCCAGGCAGCAGAGCAGAAGGAAGCACACCTCAGGTCCTCCTGTGCAATTAACATTTACACAAATCAGGAAGCACAACAAACTTATTTCTATAAAATTTTAAATATGCGTCCTCTCTGTGTGTTTGTAATGTGTGTGTCTGTCTGTCTGTCTGTCAATCTGCTGTCTGTGTGCAAGTCTGTATGTGTATGCGTACGAAATAATAGCAAGATTTGCTAAAAGATAGAGAAGGAAGAGAGATACGGAAGGAAGTAGCAGCTCTTAAGGCTGAACTCAAGACTTCCTCATCTGACAGTTTAGCTAATTTTATAAGTCGAAGCATGTGACAGACAGTTCATCCTATCTTCATTTTGGCTTTTTGTGATCCAAAATTGTTGAAATTTTCTGAAGTATATGGCAAGTAACTAATTCTCTATCATTTCGTCTTCGCTCCAGCGCCAATTATGTAGAATTATCTTTCTTAATTTGAGAAATAACTATTAGAAACGGTGCTAATGATTTCCGCTTTGTTTATAACGATAAATTGATTATACATTTCAGATTATAACTCTTCTTCCTCTAACTATTTCAATTTGCAGTAAACCTGGTAATATTACAAACATGAACTTTTTATGTAATTTCCCTAAAAAACTAAAGCATTAACAATTGGCGATGAGAAGAAAACTGATCAAATTGTAAAAAAAAAAACCTAATGAAATTTGAATTTGGCTGAAGGAAAATTAAATATTATCAAACGGTGCGATAATTTCTTGGCAGAAAATGGTTTAGTGCAATAACAAGAATGCAGATTTTTCCTTTATATGAGGTAAGGTATTTATTACCTGATGTCGTGAATTAAATCATATCCAGAATATGAATTTTCGTTTCAGATTTCAGTTAATCATAATAATGAATGTCACTTGAGATTTGTAAGTTAAACAGAGGCAGGAAAAAACGAAAAGAAAACTGTTATAGAAAGGAATGAATGGATAACCATTTAAGGAGAAGTAGAGTTCGGACTTGTGATACATACGCTTATTATCTTCTGGCAAGTTTATCACAAGTTCAATTCCTGTTCCACCATTTTGATATTCTCTACACTTCCGCTTCACAACCCATTATTCCCTGTAATTCTGCTCAGATTTTAAAATATCAGTGAATTTTTCTATTTTTAAATATCAAAAAAAAAAAAAAAAAGAAAAATCAACTGTTTAAAAATATCAGACAATTTTTTCTGTCCATATTACTTTCATTTGCAAGCGTCATGCACTCAGTGTATGTTTCCTGTTGTTTCGAATTTCATATCGTCAATTGGCCATTTGTTAATGAATCCCATATTTTCAGGTCAGACCGATTTTGAAGACATTATGTTTATATCATTAATTTACTATCGCAATTAACTTGTATTTTCTCTTTGAAATTTAAATGGAATTACTCCTTAGATCGTTTGCATTTTTGAATAAGAAATTAAAAAACCAAAGGAAATGTGAAATGAACAGATATTTAAATTCTCATAATTTTTTGAGATTGAGCAATAGAAAATCTCAAGTGTTTTTTTATTGAAAATCAAAGACTTCATAGAATTTACCAACGAAAAAAGAAAATATACAAGAGATTGTTACTTTCTCATTTCTCTTCTATCTTCCTTCTTTTGACTGCAACACATTAAACTAATTCATCATGTTCTTAAAAAAATGTAACTCTGCTGAACTTGTTATTTGAATTATTTGATTGAAAATTAAAAACTAGCAGGAAAGAAAAAAAAAAAGCAGTTAGACAACATTTCCTCGCATCTTCATTCTTTGACTTTTTAATAAGATGAAGCAGTGACAAAAAAGGGTGACCTTAGTTTGTCTGACCTTATTTCATGCAAAGTAAGCACTTTTCATCTCTTCAGCAAAGTTAATAATTCAAAATAGTCATGATATTCTTTGTCTGGAAAGGTAAAATTCGTCTTCAAAAAATATTGTTCTTGGGTTAATTGTTGAATTACAACAAATGAAAAATTTTGTATTATTAATTTCTTGAGCAAAATTTGTTCAAGAAGTATAATTGAAAAGCTTGCTTTTATTTGTTTTTATTATTTCAATATGGATGAATCGCATTATCTAAATCTTGAAATTATAAAAAAAGAAAAAATCGTAATTTTGCTATCGGAGAAAGCTTTGTTATGGGACGGTGACGAAAGGTTATTCGATATTCTATGCATCTCGGAACAAGACTCAACAGTATCTGTCTGAGCTTATGTATCACTCCTAATTAAACGCCGCTCGATTTTCAGACGAAAGCGATTAAAGTTCACTATTTCCATCAAAACCAACAAGCTTCACCTTGAAGACTCATTGTAACAAATGGTAAAAGGGGAATCTTTTCAAAAGTACGATTCCATCTAAATTAGATGAATGAAAGTGAAACATGAATTTAAGCAGCAAAGAGACAAAGATTCCCTTCAACACAACACACATTTAAACAAAGTGCTTCTTATCATGCACTTTATGTTACTTTTATGTTTCTTGAACTATTGAAAATTTTGGATTTCAAATAATTTTCCTGACTTACGAGACCAAAGTTCACAATGTGCAACGAATGAAGCAGAAATCCCCTTTAAATTGATTTAAAATTGGCCTAAAAGTTAATTAATCACTCCTCATTAAATATTCGGCAGACCAATTTATTGATAACAAAGACTCTGAAGTATTTATATATTATAGTTAATAAATTTCAACTATAGGCACTTAATCTTCGGATTTTGTCTAATGAATTAAAACTTTATAGGAAATGTATCCACCTAAAATTGTATTAATATTGCAGTAAATGATGTCAAAACGGAAAGTATTGAGAGAATTCCAATCCCTCTTGAAAAGGTTTTCGAATACTAGCACAAGCAATGCCTAACTATCCAACATATTACATTTTGTGTATTCACTACAAGCTGACATATTTTTAACAATATTAAAGCAGTACCAGTATTTGTTTAAACTTATTTTCACTCATTGGTTTTTTGGTTGATTCAAACTACTGCAAATAAAACTCCTGAAAAAGTAACTTTCGTCTTCGCAAGGAAATGTAACAAATCATGGAAACTGATCGGATTTGAAAATCACTGCTCGCAACAACTAGTTTTAGGAATCGTTCACTGAAATCACTTCCACAATAACAATAAGTGATTTCGATAAATGTTTGCATTATAGTGAATATAGCATATTTTGTATTTTCATACAAAAAGAAACGAAAAATAATTAAGAAGAATAATATTTGAAATCAAAGGAATTAAGGACTGGTCATTGTTTGCAATGGGAATTTGTTTCTACAAAATTCTTAAATTTTCCAGTAAAATTTAACCAATTTTTCTATATGTGTGAATTAAAAAATAAAAATTTTCATTGATTTCAAGTACGGAATGCTATAATGCACTACTATAAAAAATGGAAGTTTATCACAACAATGATAAAAATAGTGTTGCTTTAGAACATTGCTTGTTTTCAATAGCTGTGAGATGGAGATTTGTGCAGAATTATTAGGTCAATAAGATTAAACAACTGATAAACCGAGGCAACTCTGCATTTGAACGTTTTAAGATATTTGAGACAACACGAAGCAATAGCAGTTACTCAACAAAATGATAAACAGTGTACAAAGAGAAAAAAATAAAAGTTACCCGTATCTCGAGAAGTCTTGATGATAATTTTAGTAGCTCTTCTTCCATGGAATGGAATTTGTTATATATATGTATATATCATAACATAACAACTTCTAAATAAACCAGACAGGAACGAGCAGATAATGAGAGTTTCTAAAATTTCAAGACTTCTTGAATATTCCTGGAATTCTAATCAATTCCTGGACAGTTATGAAATGAGCGGCTGCATATGAAACAAATGTCACTAGAATCAGCTTAAGTGCATGAAAAAAAAGCTAGATATGGTGCAATTTTTGTATGTGATACGTAAAAGTAAAATGGGCCAACTTGAACAACACGCATAAGTGATCAGATCACAGCCCAGAACATAGCCATAAAACTCGTATTGTAGTTAATAAGAAAAATTTAGGATACAATTAAAGGAATAGAGATACGACATATAAGTGAGAACAGCAGAGCGAATCAAAGGACAGCCATTGTTTGATGTACATTTGAAGATGTGGAAGTGTTCACCGTTCGATCATCGTCACTGTCATCAATATTACCGAAATCTTCAAATCTTTCCAATGAATGCGCTAATTCTGAGGTTGACTGCGTTTTCTACAACTATCATTTATTTTAAGCGCTTCAACATTGACTCTTTCATCAAACTTCTGTTTCTAAGAAGAAAGTGAAATAAAAAATTTTCTTCAGTTTCAAACAAACATAATTGCATATGAAATAATACTATTTGTGAACAATTCAAAAGCAACATCAGTTGAATGGTTGCATATTAAAATTTTTTCTCGATTCAATAATGGAAAATACCTTAACTATCTTTGAAGACTTTTTGTCACCAACATCAATGGCTGGTTCATCGTAAACACGATTTGGGACATCACTACTACTGACAATAGCTTTACTGTTTTTCCGTTTAATATTATGCGCTGGTGGAGGCGGAGGTTTCCTGTGCTGTGAAGGTTTCACTTCATCTGGATATGAGAAATCAGCACTTTCCATTCCTTAAATATGAAAAAAAAGATGCATAAAAACAAGTGAAAGAAACGATATTAACCTCAATGTATTTGTGCATCAAAAGAAGGAAAAAGAAAGTAACCATCACTATCACTTGTCTCCAACAGTGGTCTTCTTTGACTCTCTGAACTTTGTATTATTACTCTGCGATGTACCGGTTGCATTGTCATATAGTCGTCATCGTCCTTTATATTTAATGAACAATCTACAACTCTCACATAAATCAAACTATTCTAATAAGTTTAATTCAAATTCATGGTGAAACTGATGAATTTCTAACAAAGTGACTAACCGTTTGTAACATTCTTGTTGATACCAGCACTACTCTTCAGACGTTCACCGCGTAATTCAGCAGCTGCATCACAAGCTTCATTTATCTGAAAATACAAAACACGAAAATCCTGCTGTAAAAAGATCAACAACATTCACACAATGAGATTTCACAAACTCATATGTTTACCCTTTTCTCACACTGTTTACGCCAATCTTCCTTTGTTTGAGCCTCATTGGACGCACGGATATATCTTGTCCTTTTCATCCCAGTTTTATATCTTGGCCTAGAAAAAAGTGGCACACAAGTTTAATTGTTAAATTCATGAAAACAAAATTTATTGCAGCATTTCAACAAAATATGAATAATTCTGCATTACCCAGAAGATCGACGACACCGATCAGCAACGGATAACTGTAATTGGGACGATGAGCAACTTGCCATTTCATCATCATCTCCCATAATCACTTCGCCATATCTTCTCAGTGTCTCATTGCTAGCAAGCTAAACATATTGAGCTATTTTATTGCAATATCTGAGAAGATAACTCAATAATTCATTCAAGAAGAAAAAATTCAATGATCAAAAGAAAATCAACATACAGGTTCGATTTCATCGCAGCTAACAATACAACGTTCTGAACCACAATTTCTTATCGATCCCGACTCTGCGATCCAACGAATTCTGCATCTATTCGAACCTGCTAACGAAGGAGATCGACTAGCACCTCCGATCGAAGAGCTACTTATTCGTTCATGGATTGGGAGAGGACGTACCTATAATTGTTCACTTCTGTTCGACATTTTAAAAGTTTCATTTTCTAGCGGTATAAGTCTATATTTTAAAAGGTAACAATAGTCAGTGACCAAGTAATTTTAATAAAAATTCACACAAGTGCTGAACAACTGAGCAGCTCGAGAAATAAGAATTCTTAAATTAATAAATATCTTCTAAAACTTGATTTCTCATCTAATCAATTCAAAAAACATCGTTTGCAGAAAAGAAATTGAGAACTATAATCTTTACCTGAACTGTAGGCAAGCCTTTCTCGTAATTGCTATTATGTAAACGCGGAAATAACGGTGGTGCTGGTGTCACACCAGCATGTGACACACCTTCGTACGACATTGACACTCGTGGATTGTAGTTATTTGTTTCGTATTCCATTTCCCTTACTTTCGGTGATTTCCGACTCCTACAATTTTGATGAAGTTTGCTTCAACTAATGAAGTGTAAAGGTGTATATATTTGCTAATGCTGAATTTGAGATCAACGTTAGGCATCTTGAAATCACTGCCATTCATTATTATTAATTATCAATGCATTATCATTGTTACCATCATTATTATTACCATTTATTATCACCATCCACTATTATTATTATCCATCATTATTATTAGTAGCATTATAATTAATTCACTATAGTATTTACTATTACTATTATTATTAGTTATATTATTTGCTAAGTCTAGCCAAAAAGATCGAACTTTTTAATACGCAAATAAATGCATATAATAAGGGTGGCAAAGATTATGAGAAGTAATATAACGATAATCAAGCCAGCAATCTTGATTGCATTCAATGGCCAACCATCTGCTATCAAATCCGTTATTCGATCTGCAACATTTCTTATTCCGTTCAATTTCCATTTTAAGCTACCATTCTTTTAGTTTATTATCTGTGTAATTGCATCAAGTTTGGATCACTTCATTGTTTTAAACACTTTGTTTTAAACAAATTATTATAGCTACATTATTAATGATACATTAAATTTAATATTGGTTTTAATATTATGCATTAAACATTAAATTTAGTATTAATATTATCATAATTTCATCTGGTTTTGTAAAAAACACGGTAAATAATAAAAGAAGAATTCGGCAACTGTCCCAAAAAACAGATTTATGTGCAATTGTATACCTTTACAAGCTGTTCCTGAATATCCATGGGAACAATTACATATGAAAGTGGCAGAATGAGGCAAGCGTATACAACTTCCAAAATGACCACAAGGATTTGACAAACATGGATCCCAATCTCCTAAAAATCAAAATCACTTAATAAATCTATACTTAATATTTCACTATAATGTACAGGTCATTTTCATTCCTTGCTCTTGAATTAGTGCGTAAAACGTGAACATACCATTGGATGATATTTACACATTTACAACTTCTTTTTAAATTATACAAAGCAATAATTGCTGTATTTTTAAAAATAATTAAAAAAGCAACTTTATCTTCTTTCCAAAAATCATAAGACCTCTCAACCTGAGTTACTTACCTCTCAACTGGCAAGTTTTCCCTGTAAAGCCATGTGGACAGCTGCAGTAAAAGTCATTATGCAAATTGATACATTCTACACCACGAGGACAAGGACGTGAAACACACGGTGTTAGGTCGATTTCACAGTTGCTACCAGAATATCGGGGAGGACAAGCACATCTGAAGTTATTAACGTGAAAGATAAAATAGAAAATATTTTGAATCCAAACCACAAATAATCACAAAAAAGTATGCAAAAACATATAAGTGTATTAATTAATAGGTATTAACTATTTGATTATACTAAGATTTCTGGCAAAAGATATTTGCGCAGATATTAATACACCAAAGATTCTAGTAGTAAATGATTGAAAGAAATTTTGGTAAACTAACAATTAATTATAAATGATTTTCAATATTTTGTATACTGATTGCTTAAAACATTAGAAAATAACTTACTCATAAGCTTTTTCACTGGAAGGAATACAAGTACCCTCGTTTTTACAGGGGTTTGCAGCACACGGAGCACTGACGATAGCATTACAGTTTAAACGAGTATTATAGAGATAAAGACTCTGTTTCGTCTTCGATACTTCATAACCATCAACAGAAATACGTCTAAAAATACTTCCATACTTTGTCATCAGACTATAAATAACAGAAAGAAGGAATGAACTGGTCATAAGATGAAAACGAAAAGTAGTCAAAGGACATACATGAACTCTTGAAAACTGATGGTGTAGTTCCTAAAGGATGAAAAAGATAAATGATCAATGGGAGAAATCAAGATTCAATCATATATTCAAATAAATCTTCATCCACCCAGTAACTAAGCCAAACTCAAACTCAAGGTTCATTACTATAGGCAACTAATGTTAAATAATGAGAATTTCTACATGTCATGACGAAAGCTATTCTGTTATAGATAGACAGAATTATAGCATCGCATTTTGAAATGGCACAAAAAGCAAACCCGAAACAACCGATCATTCCCTTGGTTACTATTGGCTTCAGATCATTTGCCGTTGTGAAAGTACTATCGTCGACCGATTGTGTAACCATAGCACCAAAAGTAAGTCTAAAAGTAAATATAAATACAGTGGAAATAGAAAACCATTACTGAGGTTCTATAAATTTTTCAAGGACCAGATTTCTAAACAAAAAATAAATATAATAAGAAGCAGCTAGAAAATATAGTTTGTTAATAATATTAAAATTACCTTATATCTTGTCGATAAAGGTTTACGACGTCACTACCCTGTGGACTGTCACCTTCCTTTTCATACAAACCGTCCAGCACAAGTTTTGCGTGCCTGCTTCTTCTCGATACTTTTAAAGAATGCCATTTGCCATCACTAACCGTCTGCTGGTTAATGCGAACTACTCCCGGTCCAGTACCGCAGTTCCAGCGATATTGTACATATCGTCTCTCAACCTAAAATTCGAACAAATCTTGTGATAACTAAAATTTGTAGTTTTCTTTCAAACTTTTATAAAAAAGAAAATGTGCAAGAGATGTCTCTGTTCACCTCAATGGTATGAAAGTCTGAATTGCCAGCTCCGTACATAATGACTGCATCTGCACTTGTAGTCCGGAAATAAATCGTTAACTCCAGTCGCCGTTCTACGGAGTTTGCAACGGTTATCTGGAAAAAGCCATCACCACCAACTCCAATTTCCGCACCTGTAACAGCACAGAAAACTTTTTAAGAAATGCGAAGATAGAACATAATTTAGAAAATTTAAAAACAACTGAAGCACATTTTTTGAGGAATTCAACTTATCTGTTTTAACTGTCACTTACTGCTAACTTTTTAAAACAAAAGTCTATTTCAACTAACCTTGACTGCATTCTCGCCTATCTCTACCGCAAACGGTCGCATCACAACGATCGCCAGTAGTGCCTGGTGGGCAAATGCAATCAAACCCAATGTCTGTATTCATCGGAACGCATATCTGCAATTTCCAACAATACGTTGATTTAGTATTTCATCTATATGGCCTTCTAAAATTTGAAAGTTTCTAAATCTATAATTACATTACTCTAGCATCAGTTTTGTTGTAAACAAGTAAATGTTTAATTAAACAACAGAACGACTGTGCATTTAATAATTAATCAATGTAATTAGCAATCATTAGTCTATTTTACGCTGTTTGAAGTGTTGACTTTGATTAAAAGTATGGTCAGTACTACCACGTCGAATTTACGTAAGATTTAAAATTTTACTTCAAGTCTGTTATATATACTAAAGCATATTTGAGAAAGTAAAATGAGGTGGATGGAATCTTCTCTACGATACGCACAATAAATGACCTCTTCCTTGGTGCACTGATCACGACTGCATTTATCAACTGGTATATCACAACGCTTCCCGGCATAACCAGTCCGGCATGTACAATCGTAGGTTCTGAGGTGCACAGGAGCGCTGAATGACTGACGATCGGTCTTATAGCAGACATTATGAGTGTCATCCAAATATAAACGATCCCTGCATTCGCCATTAGCACATACGTCTCGTCGACACATTTCCGTTATTATTGATATAATCTATGGCAAGAAAAGCGTAAGTTCAAACTTAATGAAGATAAACAGTCGAACTTAATGTGGAATGAAAATCTTCCACGAAAGAAAACAAAAAAAAAGACTAATTAATACTTTCCACCTTCCAACGCACGCAGTGAAAATATTCTGAAAATTCCCTTTCAGAATTTTTTTTTATTCTTTTGAGGTGAAGTGCGGAAGCAAAATTTAAGGCGTAATACACATTATTTTCTGAAACATCTGAAACTTATGGGTTACGATGACAGTCCCATTGTTCCAGTTATGTTTTAGTTATCCTACGAAAGCGGATTTTGGGTCGTGAAATGTTGAATCGAGAAGCTTAACCTATAATCTTTCTTCTAAGATTTTCGGGTATTTTTCAAAATTTGACCCACATTTATAATAAGCATTTTGATATTATAAAATGTAACTATTAAAAAACCTCTCGGCCAATATCATCGCTTAATTGAGCAACATTATCTTCAAGTCTTTGTCGAATGAAATTAGGTCGATGATATCCACGAGAATCAGCCCGTGATACTGTGAATAGAATATCCAAGTCCTGCTCTGATGTCGTTTTATTATTCAACTGACGGGCAAGAAGATGATGTCGGACTAAATTACTTTTACTTACATAATGTCAGATTATGTTTTACTTTTAAAAGCGACCAACTCAGGGCAAATTGGAAATGAAATGATATTCAAATTATTCGAAAAATATTTAATATGTAAAGTAAGAATAATGAATAAAGATCAGAAACTCATCACATTTAGCAAAAAGTTTGTCAAACAATGTGAAAAGTATTAACTTACCCAAAGTGGATTGCACAGATAAAATCCGAACGTTTTGTGGTTTTACATTCAGGAATCTAGACAAAGAGTGCATGAAATTCTTGACGTGTTTGTTAAAAAATGTTTCTCCCAAAAGATTATGAATCCGAACGCTTACGGAATGATCCAATGCATCCTGGTCAATTGAGATCACCTAAAATCCATGATTTTCAGAAGGATCCACGATTTTTGAACTTACAATCACACTTTGTCGTATTGTTTTCTATTTTCAATCTGAGCAAAAAAAGTTTAAACTTGTTTTCATTTAAGGAAATATGAAGCACCTAAAATTGAATAATCAGTATGAGTATTCGAATCACTGAACACTAATCACAAACAGCAGTAGTATGCTAATTATTTACTGCAGTGTTTATTAACTTACGGTGAACTAACACTTACATCAATTACAACTGGCACCACAGCGATATATTTACCATCGGTCACAGAAACATTAAAACGGTAAGTTCCCGCAAGAAGATCAGCTTCACCGATGATATCACCTGTTTCCGAATCAATACTAAATGGAATTTTAGAATGCTGGTGATTCGACCAGATGGTATTAGCACTGGCTTCGCGATCAGCTAATGAATAACGCAGCATATCCGTTGAGTCCTATAAGTTAAGAAAATGACGCATATTTGCGTTAGCAACGGTTATACATGATAGAACTGATGAGAGAGTGTTACACGTTACAACCCGTGATATTATCAGTGATTATTTGCTAAATACCAAATGCTAACTTCATCTGTCGCCATGATTTTACCTACGATCCCACCCAGAAATTCTCCCATCAGTGTATTCAGAGTAATTTTCAATGGATTGCTCTGCGGTGCATGGCGACTTTCCTCTTTAACAAACAACGTCATTGGGCATTCCGTTGATAAATTATCTCTATCAGAAACTTTAACCTGAAAAATAAAAAAAAAAATTGAAAGAAATAAAGCACGAAATTCTTCAAATTTTGATAAATTTAAATATTATTACTAATTTCATACCGAAGCTGTCATCATTTGATCTCAGAAAACCTAAAATTAAAATTAAAGAAGAAATAAATCGTGTGAAATTTAAAAACATACCGACAAAAGATAAACTTCTTTTTTGGCATGTGGTGGCAACCGTTTTGTAGTGATTAGGTTCAGGTTACGATCAAAAGCAAATAATGAAGCACCGTCTCCAATAATTTCCAACCTATACGGACCGGTATTTGGTTCTTTATCGTTATCAGTAATGAAGATTGGCAGTATAACATGTCCAGGTTCAACACTTTCCTAGAAAAAACTTAAGTATTAACTACAAATAATTTTTCAAAAAGCACTGAGTGGATTACAAAGCAAAATAGATAGAACAATCAAAAGACTAAAACAATGATATGAATAAAATACTGAAGCTATTGAAACAAGAAAGATAAATATTTTCATAAATATGTAAGCACAATGTAAAAGACAACTAAAACGAAATTTTTTTATGAATGAAAGAATGGATGAAGCGATAGTGAGCTTAGAAAATTAATTCTGAACATTAAATTTGAGTTTTGAGAACTGCTTAAAAGAGAAAAGGTGATAAGTGGTGGCAAAGTGACACTGACATGTTGCTATTTTACTGAAGATATTGAAAATTAGTTATATCATTAATTCCTTATTGTCAAGAGATAAAATACCAACTGGAGATCAGATGCCTCCTAATTATGTCAAAGGAGATAAACAACAATTTGAAAGAGACAAACAATAATAATAAAGTTAATTCACTAAATAAAAACAAACGAAATACCTGAACAACAGCAGTCATATTGCAATGCTTAAAAACGGGAGCATTATCATTCTCATCCTCAACTTCAATCTCAACAATTGTGGAATCAGAGAGAGGTGGAGTACCACCATCCACTGCTTTCACTATCAAACGATAAGTACTCTTCTGCAAAAAGTTAGACATTATATACAACTGACCATAGTTGTTACACTGTCAACTTTTAAGTGAGAAGTTATGATTGCTGGAATTGTGCATTATCCTACAATTCCGAAAAATATGCTTCTAGGATGCTGAGAAATAGTAAGAGGATGAGAAAAATACTAGTTTTGTTCTTGATGAATAAAATTCTGTTGTAGTGACAGCAAAATGACAACCATCGTCTTTACTAAATACAATTGATTGTAAGATTTACCGCCCGATTCAATTTTAATAACGAAATTTTTTTACTATTTTTGCTTTCTTCATAGGTAAACACACATAATATTAGCTCCTATAACTAACATTTATTTTAAAATAATTACAATATCTAAAAATTGAAACATTACTAATTCAAATTTAGAGAAAAAATTCGAAAATTTTCAGTAAACTACTGATTCTGCTGGATATGGCAAATATAAGGAAAACTGTCAACTAATTAGACAGTAAAGCGACAAAAGCGCACCACTTCACGATCAAGCATTTCGGTGGTTGTAATCCACCCATCTTCCTCGATAGTGAAGCCAACTGCATCGTTTGTTATCGAATAAGATACTCGGCCAAAATGTTCACTGTCTGGATCATTTGCCAATACCTGAACAGGAATAGAAGAAATTACGACTTGTAGTAAAAAATAAAAAATTATTCCACTTCCCACATTTTCTCTTTACTAACTAACCATCTGACATTTTCTACCACTTAATTCAACACTGCGATCCAAAACAAAGGCAATTTACAGTAGGATGACATGGAATGCACGAACCATTAATTTAATGACACTACCTGCACAACTTTAGTACCGCGCTGCATATTCTCCAAAACCATAGCTCGGTAAATATGTTGCATAAAAAGCGGTGGATTATCGTTTACATCCAGAATTTCGACATCTATTTCACATGTTGAATTTAGTGGAGGTTTTCCGGAATCTGTTGCAATAACAGATACCATGAATTTTTCCAATTTTTCGAAATCCAGTACAGAAGCTAGTTTCAACAAACCTGAAAAACTAGCATCAGGAATCGTTTTCATATCAAAAACATGGCTATGAATCTGGACAATCGGTTAAAGATTAGAGTGAGAAAAAAAATTACCACTGTTAGCATCAATGCTTAGATATTTAGCGACATCATCAGAGGCCTGCATTTGGTAACTGATAATTTCCTTGTCATCACCTCCATAGGCTTTCAACTGAAGTAACTCTTTCCCAAGTGCTTCATCCTCGGCAATTCGCAGATGATAAATATTCTGTTCAAATACAGGTGCATTGTCATTTACATCACCCACATCAATAATTACTTTTGCTGCAATCAAGCAGCTGGTAATGTACACGAGCATTTACTATGAGAATAGAAATTGAACAAACTCGAAGTTCAATTTAATCGAGTTGGTTTGGAGTAATTTATAATATATATGCAAAGATTAAGCAAGCATTCTTATTTCAGTAGAAATTTCTGTGCTCTGACTTTTTTTTTAACAAGCATATTTTGATTTCAGTAATGGATAATATTAAGCAGATAAGGATATTTAGATGATGAACTTTGATTTAATAATCAAATCACTTGTCAAATTTGTTCAAATTTTAATAGAAACCTTCTGCACTATTCCCTGCTGTGCTAACAGCTAGGACTGAGAAGTCGTATTGATCCTTAATTTCTCGGTCAAGAGAAGAAATCGCTGCTATAACACCAGTTTCGCTATCAATATCAAATAAATCCAGATACTGATTACTATTATTTGCAAATTTAAATGTGACACTACCAATACCATCCAGATCGTCAATGGTTGTTTCCAGTCTAGAAAATAGTTTTTTGAATTTTAAAACTAGAAAATTTACCTCAGAAAATATTATACAAATTAGAGCAATTCACTTAGCATATTTTCTAATGATGATGTACTAAGTGCACAGAAGCGAAAATTAAGAAGATATAAAACAGTATGAGATATGTTTTTAAATAGTAAAGATAATATACAGTATTTAAGCTTCAATTAATATTCGAGTTTTGCATGTTTAAGTTCTACTGGTAAATTGCAAAATTTCAAAATGTTCTGAAGCTAAATTTTGGAAAATAATATCTAAAGATATAAAGTCTGTTTTACTTCATCAATCCATTTTTCATAAATCGTGCGCCCTAATAAAACTTCGCAAATATGAATTTAAACTCGTGTCACTTGCGAAGTTGCATCAATATTTACATGCATTCAAGAATCGCAAATTAGATTCACTTGTTTACATCTACGCCTTTAATGATAGAAGAGGTTAATAGGATAAAATAGGATGTGCTGCTATTTTGGATTAAATTTTTCTCTAACCATGTAACAATTATGACCATGAACTGATCATAAAGTACAAACCTGGTTGCGAATACTTTTTCCTCTTTCGTTGCATTACGATTTTCTCGAACCATACCGTAAAAAACAGGCTGCGTAAACGTAACTCTGCCTTTACTTGTTCTTTCAATTTTAACAATTATGCGCTGAATGCATAAGCTTTCTGGACTTTCCGCCCGAAGAAACAGCTCGACCTGAAAATTTGCTCGCTAATCGGATGCAAAGTCAGTTCCATCATTCACTTGGACAAGTAAATTGGTAAATCGTGTAATTTAAAAAAGACATACGATATTGAAAATCGATTCATCATGTTACAAAAAAAAGAAAGAAGAACCAAAAAAAATAAACCTGATTTGAAATATGTGAACTAAGTTGGTCACGAACAACTACTGTTCCGCTGTTTTCAACAGCAAACAAGTTTGATTCCGATCCGGTAAGATAGAAGCGTAACGATTTCCGCACTTTCTGATATCCCATTTTAATAATAGTGCCAGTTGGTGAATCTTCTGTTATATTTCTAAGGATTTCTCTCGGTTCACATTGAAACTGTGAAAAATTTGACAGCAATTTCACCTGCAACGATAAATGTGAGACATTTAATCAACAAGGTCAGTAATTTCAATTAAAACAATTAAGACGGTAGTTATTAAACAATCGTTTCATGAAAATCTGACTGTGTGTAAATCGATTGTAACACTTTATCTTTCTAACACCTTATCTTTCTTAAATTTTGTCTATTCTGAAAGATTAAGTATTTAAATACTGCGGCATCTGGATATGCAAATTAGAAATTGTTAATAAAACAGTGGTATGCAAATTAGTGAAAATTACAAATAAAACAATGGTATGCAAATTAGAAATTATAAATAAAACAACCAATTAAATGAAAAAATGGAATTTAGTAAATTTATTCATCTGATAGAAAAAAAAAGGAGTAAAACTAATATTCATAACTGCGTACCACAACTTCAGCTGTTGCTGTGTACTTTCCGTCGTGTGCAAGTATCAAAAGATGCGACTCAAGAGAATCTGAATCTGTTGGAAGTTTATGAAGTACAAGACTGTTCATTTCCAATCCAAAGATTCCATGTTCGTTGCCTCTCATAATATACAAACTGGTAACATTGTTGGGATACAAATCAGGATCCTGTTTTTTATCAATTACGTAGCAGAAAAAATATTATTATTCAATTTAAAGCAAATTACTGGAAATATTCTGAAGCTAATTGATGACCTTATAAAGGACAGAATACAGATGTTTCAAACAACCAAGTCATTAAAATAAAATTAAAAAAAGACAGCATGATCAGAATTACTTACATGAACTTGAAGTTGCAAAATGTCCTGCCCCACTCTTAAATCCTCCATATATTGTTCAATAAAATAAGTTTCCTGTGAGAATTGCGGAGGTGAATCATTGACATCTTTGAGGACAACAGTTATTTTCTTCCGTGTGCTTTGTCCACCTCCATCTCGAGCATTAACTATTAGCGCATACTCTTCTATTACCTCTCTGTCAACTTCTTTAAACAGTGAAAGCCAACCTGTTTCTTGGTCCAATTTAAAAGTACTACTGTTATTGCCCTAAAATCGGACAAAGAATACAAGCTTGATAGACTAAATAAAAATATGGTGATTTTTAAAAATATTTCGAGAATTCCCATTCAAAAAAGAAAAACGAGTAAGATTATATGACATCAAATCAATCCAAAATCAATCAAACAATTTTAATACCTCTTCCAAGAAATACTGAACTTTCGAGTTCAAACCCACAGCATCCTCATCTACTGCTCTAATAATCGTAATACTGCTTCCAATTGGCAAATCTTCCGAAATAACGACACGTTCGGAGGTAATTTCAAAGCGTGGCTTGTTATCATTTACATCCGTTATTCTTACTGTCACCAAAGAAACAGCCTTTGCGTTAAGTTGTCTCTGTGAGTGCAAACTCACCAAGAAGCGTATTTCGCGTGTCTGAAAAGAACAAGATGAAAATTTCATACTTCTTTATATTCCAACTTCTTAAACGATTAAAGTGTGTATCTCATGAGGAAAGCGTGTGTATACGTAGGAACTTGTGGTGTAAACACAAATGCTTGTGACATGTAGAAAATCGGTTTACTTATCTCTGCTAATCTTGATGGTGCAGTACATTTTTTTTTTTTTTTTCAATTTACAAATCTGGTACTGAATGCTCTCTCAGAGACTTCTGAAAGCACAGAAGATATATCACATCATTAAGAGGAATCGGAAGAATGAGGAAAACAATCAGAGGGAGGCACCGTCCGTCTTGCTCATAATTGGAGCACATTCCGGTTGGTTCAATTCAAAAATCAACATAGTTCGATTCAAAGATTCCTTTCAATATGAGGAATCACAGAGCACTTAATACGGCAGAAATATCGCTCCAATGATATTGAAGATTAAATGTTCTATTTAATCCATCCAGTTCTAACAAGAATTTCAATTTAAAACAAACTTTCTCATAATCCAGCACACTGTTCACAACAATTTGTCCACTTTCTTGTTTCACGGAAAACGGAAAATCAGATAAATTATCCATTGAAACCAATGAAAAAAAAACATCCGAAAGTTCTGAAATTTCTGTCACAATGAAAGATTCACGCCCAAAATGATTAGATCAAAATGCAACTATGATAATTTAAATTCGCATATTCGTAAGAGGAAATTGCTGGTTCTACTTATCATTCATGAGAGTTCTCATCACTGTGAACAAGCAAATTAGTACTGCAATAGTTTTACTATCTCAATTTTGAGTTTAATTAATTTCAAACATGTTACCGAGTTGCGAATCCTGTTGAAGACGACCCACAACTGTTCCAATAGGCACATCTTCCGACACCGAAAAAAGGAAATGTTGTGTAGAAAATTTCGGAAGATGAACAATCGGACTGACATTTAATATAACAGATGTTTCATTCTGATGAGGAGGATCTGCACTGTCCGTCACACGAACAAATAAAGAAATTTGTTCACCAACTGAAAATGACTCAACAATCTCGCACAAATTTCAAACGAAACCTAACTCTGAATCTGACATCCTAATCAGTTCAGTTCAGAATAAAGCATATTAAAATAACAAGAAATGCAGATAAAGCAATCAGCCGATAAAACCAAGAAAAAAGGAATTCAAAATTCAAAACATTAATAATTGTTCCTAATTAGCCCACACATAAAAACAACAAACCAAGATCATTTAATAGTTCCTTAACACTAATCAATCCTTGTTTTGGATGAATTGTAAAATATTTGGAACGAATTTCATCACTATCAACAATACTGTATTCCAGCTCATCGTCAACATCGTAATCAAAAGCAAATACCTAGAAATGGGCAAGTTTGAATTAACAATCTCTGAAAGATTTCTTTGATTTTATTAACACATTCATTTAATTTGCAGCAGTCTTGACAAAATATCAATTTCATCACAAAATCGAGAACAAAAAGAAAAAAAGAAAGAAAGAGAGATGCGATTCTAGTAATCGTTCAGATCAGAATTATTTGAATAAACTGTTTAAGACAATCACCATTAAAACTGATTCTCCAGGACGTGAATCAACCGGTACTGATATCTCAACCTTTGAAGAGATAAATTGCGGGATATTGTCATTTTCATCAATTACACTCAAAGTTAATGTCGCAAAAGCACATCGATCACCAGCATCGGTAACCATAATGACGAATTGATGAATGCGTTGCGCTTCGTAATCAAATAAATTTCTTTAAAAAAAAATTATTATAAAGTTCGGTTTTTAATTGAATTTTTTAGCAAACAAGATGGACAAGTGCTTACATATTTTCTATGGTTGACAGATAACAAACCTCGTGTAAACTTTGCCTGTCGTTTCATCTATATTCAGTATTCCAGAACAATTTTCATGACAACCGTTAAATGAATATCTTAGAGGAGGTATACCATTATACGCTTGAACAGTCATCACAGTCATACCAATTGGTCTAAAAAAAACTTCCAATCATCTAAGTTACTCATTATAAGTAACTGTATTATTTTATTGGGGCTATCAAATAATACCTTACCCATTTTCCTGTACAGCTGCAGAATAATGCATCCGCTCAAAACGTGGTAACTGGTGTTCACTTGGGCTTCTGACAATTTTCACTATCAACAAGCAAAAATCCGTGAAAATACCATCGCTGACTGAAACGTTAAAGTGTTTTTTACCAATGTTAAGATCATCCTCAGCAACTGCTCGTAACAGTGATACAACACCCGTGGACTGGTTGATTTGCAGCAAGGTTACATCACCGTCTATGATGGAAAACAGGAATCGATTGCCATCTCCAAGATTTGACATGATATCCTGCAACATTTCAAGACTCCTTTAATATTTTAGTTCCTTAACCTAATAACTGTGAAATCAGCGATTCATAAACTTCAAGAAAACTTTCAAACTCAGTTCTAAGAAAGATTGGTGTAAAATTTGGACATGTCACCTCATCAGAAGCGTCCAATTTCGTAATGAAATGATTAATGGGAGTTTCACTTTCTACTACGCTGTTAAATGTTTTTGAAATAAATCTTGGAGCAACATCATTCGCATCCGTAACGTGCAATAGCAAATCCTGAAAATTGAAGTGATAAGAAACAAGCTGAGCTATAAGGAACAAGCTGCCACATAAAATAAAAGATTTAAAGAAAAGCGTTAAAAATTTTTTCATAATATGAAATGATGTTATCATCTCTTACATTGCATCAAATCAATATTTGAAAAGCTTACTGTTTCTGACGTTAACTGCATAGAATCAGAAGCAGTTAGTTTAAATTTAAATAAGCGCATCGTTTCGAAATCGAGCGATTTCATGAGTGATATAACACCACTTCGAGGATCCACGGAAAGCACTATAATGTCTAGTTATGCTTCTTCACATAAAAATTCATATTAATTATAGAACTAGAAAAGTCGGAATTCAAATTTTTAATTCCCAGCTATTACATGATTAGAATAATTCTGTACTACGAAATCTTTCAGCCATCCATTGCTGGTAATGTTTTGCAGATACATGAAAATTACCTGAAGCATTTGGTCCAGTAATTCCATATGAAATATGATTATCATTTATGTCCGGATCAATTGCTTCAATCTGGAATTTGAGGTGATGAACTACTAAATGTTATCTGAATGGCAATGGCAACATCAACATTAATATCAGAGTAATAGGAAATATGAAGTATCACAGCTTTGAAAACTTGATCCATTAAAAGCAAGCAAATGATTTAAAAATCTGCTAACCTGCAAAAGTTGGGTACCAATAGCTGCCGATTCACTGACTGATATACTATAGAAAAATTGGGTAAAGTGAGGGGGAGTATCACTTATATCATCAACGTTCACGACCACGTAACTTTCTGCCCGCACTCCTTGTCGAGTGACGTCGATCGCAACAACAGTTAGGTTATAAAAGGTGCATTTTTCTCGATCCAACGGTTTGTGCACGTTTATCATACCTGAGCAAATAACATGGTTAGTACAGTGATAAAATCATAAAACATATATAAAGAAAAATTATTAATTTGATAGCATAAGAAGTGATTTGAAAGAAAATTTGCGGCACAGTTTAACAAAACAATCGAATCATAAAACTTTCAAATTAATTACAAATGGAAACTAAGATGAATAAATCTGATTGGAAAATGAAAAAATATAAACTACGATCTGCTTTTTTCAAGGTTACATAATTGAAATTTGAATATTGTTTCAGCAAAAGCAAATATGAATCAAATTTAACAGACTTCCTCCTGTTCAATTTAACATTGAAGCCGAAAAATTACCTGTGTCAAAGTCAATTCTGAAGCGATTTTCATCATTTCCAGATTTGATAGCATAGCCGATCCTACCTCCTACAATGCTTGCTGCATGAACATTTGTTACCAAGGAACCGGGTGCTGCACTTTCCAGAATATGGGCTTCCTGATAACGATTACCAAATATTGGTATATTCCTATCAACAATGTGTATCACAACATGAGCCGATGATGATAGAGAGGGTTCTCCTAAAACAGAAATTATCCAAAATTTTCGCTTGAAAATTTTTTTGATTTCTTAATTTAAAGTCAATTGGAAAGTTCGGAATCTCTAATTTCTATTAATCGGTTGAAAGCTATATAAGAAATGAAGAATGTATAACGATCTAATACATGATTACTTAATAAAAAATATAAATAATTCTCCTTTAATTTCTTTAAAATAATTTCAATCTTTTGCTCACCTTGATCTTCAGCAATAACTTCTAGTGAAACACTATCGAAGTTAGCAATTTCAAGCGATCGACTGATAACGATCTTCCCATCGTACTCATTAATATCAAAATACTCCGTGCTTGTTTTCAATTTATACCTGAAATAAGTAGTTGTATATGGTTAAGTAAGGTTTATTTACCGTTTAAGTTAAGTTAAAATAGGTGAAACGTTTCATTACAAATTATAAAACTAATAGTGAAGTGTTTTAAGTGTCATTGCTGGAGTTACTTACTTAGAATCTAACTTTGTAAGTTCTTATTTAAAAGACTTTAACCGACTTTTTTTCCGTTACGTAGATTTCATAAAAGTATCCGGTGAGAAGGATTTAAAATTTTGTTAGAAAATACGTCCTTTCTGTTCAATTCAATTTAATCACATCTGTAACGAACCTAACAGCACCGTTGAATCCCTCATCAGCATCGACAGCCTTTACATTGGTCACTTTATCAGCAAGTTTAATATCACGCGGGATAGTAAGCTCATAGGGAAGACCAATGAAGCGTGGCTCGCAATCGTTTTTGTCCTCAACTTTGATTGTCACAATACTTTGTGCTCGCTCGTTAGCACCATTTGATAGCCGTGCCTGGAAATTTTTAATTTCTCAGTGAGATTTCTTTGTTCTATCATTTTTACAGCCAAAAATAAATCTTCCTAAGCAGTACACTAATATTTTTCATCAATTATTTTACCAATTTAGAAAAAAAGAAAATATAAAAGCTCTTAATAAAGCTAGAAAAAGAAATGACAAGTGTGCTAAAATCATACCTGAACAATTAGTTTCACTACGGGCATTTTTTCCCGATCAATAGCTGTACCAGTCCAACTGATAATTCCGGATGTAACACCGACTATGAAATAACTACTTGGATTTAAAATGCTGTACAGAAGGCTACCATTTACCGTACTGATGGCACAGACAGTCAACAATTGCACCATTATAGACGATGTCATGTTTTCTGTTATCACTGCTTCATAGTTTGTTGCCAAAAACTTAATCGTACTTCCAGTTTCAGAAGTGTTTTCAGTACGAACCAATAGGACTGTAGAATCTGATTTTAAGCCGTCTGATACGACTAAGTTAATCTAAAAGTGAAGCTTAATAATTCACTTTGAAACTTATTGCAATTCTGTCTTTCGTATTTCATAGATTTCGGTCAAAACAATAGAACTGAAACGTAGCGTTTCTCCATAATCTAAATTACATAAAGATTTCATTATGAAATTTGCTATGTGTCCTCAAAAAGTTGGAATTAAGGTTCACTTTTAAAAGATATGAGAGATAATGCAACAGTTACCTCATAGTCGCTTTTTGCGTAATCAGCGGAACTATTGCCACTCGTATAAATACGACCCGTAAATTCTTCTATAGCGAATAATTGACTATCGTCAGATGCGATAATGGCGTAACGTAATATACCTACTGTGTCCACGTCGATTGCTGTCACATAACATACCGTTGTGTCTGAAAAAATATTTTCAAACATCCATTACAGATCTAATTATCAAATTATCTTATTACAACGACACAACTGCTTTTAAATTAACTCAACACTGAATTTGTACAGGGAAGAATCAGCTAATTACAAAGGTGACTCTTGAAAGGGTGGTTACATTTAATCAGTCGATTACTTGATAGCCCTGATCGTGGTGACATTCATTTTTCAGCTTACATAATTCAAAATCAAAATGTACAGATTAATAAATTTGCAAGTTAAAAGGCAAGTGAAATTTTCCCTTACTTTTAAGAGTCGGTAGAAAAAGTGTTGCATTGTAGTACTCTTGAATGAAAGAGGGTGGCTCATCATTCATATCAAAAACCATTATTTCAACTAAGGCCGGTACTGGCGATGTTAACACTTGTGGTGCAGAATCACTTGCTTGAACATAAAATGACCAATGTTTTACCTGAAATGTAATCATTAATCAGTTTCCAGACGCTGATAAGTGAAGCTGATAAGTGTTCAATTAATCTCGGGTATATCTTTTAATCGGTATTAAAAAATCAATAATTCTTTATCAACAGATCAAAGGCAAAAAAGTGCCTTTTTTAATATGACTATTGATAAACTAATAACATTACCAATTTGCCAAGATAAGAACGAGGATGTAATCTAGATGAAGAATTCTAGATATATTGATAAGGCAATTAGCAAACAGCTCAACAATTGCATCTTTGAAAATATAAACGGGAATTAAATTAAAACTAAAGATTTTGGTTAACATCTTATGTTAAAGTGTTAAAGAAGCCACTCTTTTTTTTTCACTTTTGTTGACAATCTACATTAATTGCTGACATCTGTCATCTGCCTAATAGTGCGAGTATCGACGACATTTATTTTTGCTAGCTCTTCGAATACATTCATAAAAGCACCAACTTTCTCGAAGTCAATTTCCCTTTTCGTTAGAATGGCACCAGAGATGTAGTCAATAGTAAAGTATGGCTCAAGTGGTGAAACAATACAATAGGTAACAAGCCCATTAATTCCTCTGTCATGATCAATCGCCTTCACAAGCAATTGACGACCATCTTCTAACAACACCGATGAGTCTAAAAAAGGATTTCTCATTGCGAGTTAAAAATCAATAATTCTAAAGACAATGAATATTTGACTGAGTAGACAAGTTTCGTTAAAATTTGATACTCTAATGTTGAAAGTGAAAAATCAAACTTAGCGGCATATTTTCATAAATATATCCTTGATAAACGGTACTACTGAAGTACGGTGCATACTGATTCTCACTAACAACCTGAAACGGTCGAATTTCTAAAGAAGTTTAAATTCAGCGCTGCCGGAAGTGTTCACAGATAAGAAATCAAATCAAACTCACAGAAAAGTCATCAGTTGTGAACAGAAGGTTAAGATGCAAATGTCAAAGACGTCTAAATAAAATTTTCCTTTGTTCGTTCTTTCTGGTATCAAACATTGCTCTTCATTTTAACTTTATAGTGCTCCTTATTCTTACTACTATCCACGCCCTTTAACTTAGTTATATAATTTCCTCTTTTACTTTTGTAGTGGATGAGTCAGTAAGACCCAGAATGACCTCTTGCTCCTTAAAACGGTCGGGTCAATGGGTCAGAAAGAAGAAAAAAAGATACAATAATTTGTAATAATTGTAAGGAAAGCTTACATTGATTTTCAGTTCCATGAAATCTTCAGTTCCAAGCGAATTTCGTGCTATGGCAATACAAGTGTGAGGAACTGACGCAGCACTAGTGACCAGTTTTATAGAGATAACTCCGGAAATCGGATGTACTGAGAGGAACGGACATGGATCACGAAAACTATAGCGAATGCTCATAACACTATTTGTCTTTAATATGTAAACAATTGTATTGGGTGGTGTAGATTCGTGTACCGTTAGAGAATACGATGGTCTGAAAAATGAGCTCATCGTAAAATTTGGATATTATGATAAAATGATATTAAGATTAAGAAAACTTGTGTTACAGATCCTGATGTCTTCAGGATAAAATAGTGAATTTTGACCGGAATTTTCAACAGACTGTCAAATGTACCATCTCATTTATTTTCCACCCTTTTCTCTCCTCTCACTCATTTGTTTATTTTGCTTCTCTTCTTGATCAATTTCAAAATCTCACTGATTTTAAGGTTTTAGACAGCTATTACCAAATTTCTGAAACTTTGATTCGAAATATTTCACAAAATATTTGTAAGATCTGAATAAATAGATAATACTGATAAGAGAACAAGGATTAATTTAAATCAAAATTTAAACTTACTGAGGGAAATTGACGCGTCCGAGGTCATCATTGAGTATGTTTATTCGAACGCTACATCGGTCAGTTAAACTACTATTTTTCTGGATACTAGCCTGTACTATCAACGTTGTTCTCTCATGATTATATGATATCAGCTGAGATGTTCTAATCTCACCACTATATTCATTGATCGCAAAGTGACCGTCTTCATTGCCTGTGAATTTGAATTAAATAAGTAACAGAATACAAAGTTGAACTAAAGTTCAGTTACTATCACAAGACAGTCAGATAACACTGATCGAAATTAATTTTTCAATTTTAAGTACCTTCGATGATCGAATATTGGATACTACTGTGATCCGAATCGTATGCACGCACTGTCAAAACTGGTGTTCCAACCGGTAAGCTACAACGAGGAAGTATTCCTTTCAAACAAAAATATGTCCTAAGATAACTGATTTAAAATTTGGAAAACAAAATTTAGAGTAGGTAAGCTTTAAGCTACGATGAAATAATCTCATTAATCTTCAATGTAAGTGGTATCAGTTTTCTTAACTGATATATATTTCTATTGTTTGATCTATGAGTTATTCATTTAGCTTTATGAGTTAGCCAATGAATTAAGGAACTAAAAAAAAAAAAAGAAAAAACAATTTAAGTTTGGCTATATTTAAGCGGTAATTGAGTTAATTATTAACAATGCTTTGTTCGTTCAGACCTTGTTGAAATGGTTGTGAAATATTCAGAAACAACGAATTTTGGTGGCGTTTTTGTCTCATCAAACAATGATATACCAAGTTGTGCATAGTTAATCATTTGATTGAAACGAGCGTATACTACTATTATAAAGAAGTTGGTAACGATATTATTGAGCGGTTCAGCAATAACCACTTCTCCGGAACTGTAATATGAAACAAATTATTGAACTAAGTCTGAAAATACAAAGCTTAAGATTTTGTGCAATTCATCATTATTTACCTTGGATTAATTAGTAATATATCGGTGACAGCGATATCTTCTACCACATGTATTCCAAAAATTATTCCTCGATCACTAATGGAGTCATTTAGCTTTTCAATAGTAGCTTTCAAGGTATGCACTACTGTTCCTATCGGTGCTGTTTTCGGCACAAGAATTTTATGATAATGGGCATCAAATTCAGGTCGATATTTTCGGGATATTTCAATCAATACCTGCAATTTATGATACCGACAAGTTTTTTCTCTTATCAACTTATGCTCCTAGGTTATTTATAGCTCATTAGTAAGCCTTTTCCTGTATTATATGTATGTATTATATGTCTATTTCATTCTAATTTATCCTTTCTGGTTTTTTTAAACATATTTGAACATGTTAAACTACAAAACTAACCACTCCTTCTGTAGTATCAAGGCCATCATCTACTGTGAATTTTAATTTCACTATAGTAATATTCTTTTTGATCAAATCAAGACTCTTTGCCAAATACAATTCTCCAGCATCACAGCTGAAACACAGCAATGCAATGTATTATATGAATGTGGTGAAATATATAAAAAATACTTCATGCAAAAATATAATATTCCAATCTCGATACTTGGTTTTGGTTCATATGCATTTTTGTTTATACATCGGTTGTTTGCATTTCTTCAACATCTGCTTTCTAATTACTAATTGATCATTTTTTTAAATTCACGAAAATAAGATGTATCATAAAGAGTAGATTCTTTTAAATCAATCAGAAAGCTTTTTAAACTACTTTTTAAAATGGTACATTGGTTTACAACGAAAGAATAACCTTATGGCAAACGTATTGTTTGGATTGCCATCAGTGATTTTCCACCATAATTGATCTCCATCTGGATCCTCGGCCTCAATCAATCCAATTGTTTCACCGATGCTATCTGCATCCGATATCGATAGTCGAGACCAACGATTCTCGTTCAGTAATTTCGGTTTACCATTTACCTTTACAGTTTTCTTTTTCAACCAGAAAATTACAAAATTTCATGGAACTAATTTTATACTATTCTGAAATTACTCAATTTTAATTTGAAATTAAAATATACAGTTTTTTTTGTGTGCCTTCTAACAGCATTCAAAGTGACCAAAACTGGTGATGATGTTTGCAATGGTTGACCCATGTCACTTGCCTGCAAATGAATTGGGATTACTTATGTATTTATTGATAATTTAAATCAAATTAGACTCAACATGTGTTCCATAATTAACTCATCTATCAGGTAAAAAGTAATGTTCAAAAAGGTAAACCTAATATTAGTATAAATTTTTAAAATTTGATATTGGTGGGAATAAAATGAAATGGGTGTACCTTAATAGTTAACTGATAATTTTCGTTTTCCTTTAGAGAATCAGTTGTAATTATTTGGCCGTCAGAATCAATAGAGAATCGTGGATCCGCTTCAGTGAAATTATATAATATACGAGCATTTTGTCCTTCATCAATATCCATAGCAAATACTCTTAAATTATGAGAAATAAGAATACAAGTTTAAATTTTTTGGTTTTCTCATCTAAACTTCCTTCAATTTATTCAGAACTGATCGATGCTCTTTCACTTTTAAGATTGCATAAAGTTTACAGAAGTGGTTAACCGATGATAGTGATGACGACATGTGCGCTCACCTGCACAATTCACCAATTTTGTCAGCTGGCACATTGAAGTTGTAAGTTGTTTGCTTGAACAAAGGTAAATTATCATTTAGGTCAGTGATAGTTATTACTACTGACACAGTAGTACATAATTTTGGATGACCTTGGTCGCAGATTTCTACCACAATAACATGCTCTTTTTGAGTTTCACGGTCCAAGCGTCTTTTCCCACGAGTTACTATGTAACCTGAAATTAAACATAAGTCCTGAAAAAAATACACCGTAGTTTTGATTCAATCGTGAAATTAAATGTTCCTATGATTTGATTCAGTCGAGAAACTAAATGTTCCTATAAAATATTTATAATCGACCTGTTTTGGAATCGATTGCAAAGAAGCTTTGAGGATCACCGCTAACTATTTTAAAACGTATATTCGTAATATCATGACGATCCGAAAGATCATCTTTATCTTCAGCTTCAACCTGAAATACAACAACTGATAAAAGAAGCAGTAATTTGAGCAATGGATAAATATAGGGCTTGATTTTGATATATCAGAAATAATGTTAGTCTTTTTTTATAGAAAACAAGTTAATACTTTAGTAATGACTGTATCTTCGGGTGAATTTTCCGGAATAGTGGAAAAATAGATAGGATGTATGGATAGAGGTATATGATCATTTATGTCCAGAACGCGAACAAATACATGAAGGACAGAACAAAGCGGAACTGGGTTCATATCACAAGCTTCAATTGTTAACCAATAGGAATCGCATGCTTCACGGTCAAGAACAATTGAAGTCCGTAATATTCCTGAAAATTTATAATATATGTAAATTAGAAAAATACTAAAAGTGGAATTAAATAGCAACATATTTTTTAATTTTTCATCAGTAATTCCGAAAAAATTCTACTAAAAAATCTTGTATAAAGGACAACAAAAAGTGATCCGGAAAATGGAAAATCGTTGAGTGCATAGGACAAATAATTTTCAGATATATATTTTTAAATGTTTTTTTAGATATATTTTTGAAAATTTAATCCTGAACTGGAATCCTCCTGATACCTTCCGAATCAATAATAAAGGAACTGATTCCATCACCGTCAATAACAGTATACTTTACAGGCATCTCTGGACTGTCCGGGTCAACGGCCTTCAGAGCAAAAACTTCGGTCCAAAGCGGCACATTTTCTGCAAAATCTTATCAAATAATTGAAATGCTCACAAATCGTGGAAGTACCCCGTGATTAACTGATAGAAGTCCTAAATTTCTCGCATTCATGAAAATCTTTATGGCATTTAATTCGAGCATAAAATGCCTTCTTTACCATAAACAGTTGCTTCGCGCGCAATATCATCGAAAAGTGGCGGAAACAAATTTTCATTTACATCCGAAAACTCCACCAGTACTGTACATATAGAACTTAACATCGGTTCACCATTATCCATTGCCTGCATTTCATCAACATAGCATTTTTAGGAATGTTGTCATTTTTACATTTGACTGATAAAATAGTAAGATGAAGAAATTAATTAGCAGCTAACAGGTGAATAATTCAAAAGCAAACAACTCACTTCTACTGATAAATTGTACCGATTAATCGTTTCGAAATCAAATGGCTCATCAGTGTTCACAAAAATACATCCTGTATCTTCTTGTATACGGAACGGTAACGTAAGGGACGTTTCTATGATAGTATCAAATGTATATGCTACTTTACCATTTTTACCTTCATCAGGATCCCATGCTGCTACACACGTTAGTAAGGCGTTATTTGGATAATCTTCCGGAATTATTATCTGAAATATTAAGATAATAGCGCTTATCATTTACATATATTGTGACAGTATAGTAAGAAAAAGAAGAAAGAACAGGTTGATAGGGGAGTATGTTTCAAAAGTAATATTAGTTATTAGTCGGAAAAAAGTGGTATAAAACACAAAGCAAAATAAACAATTCTGTATAATTACCGCCAATTGATGATCTAAAAAAAAAAAAAAATCGAGCGCTGATTTTTATTATTACTATCAATTTAAACAAATTTTAAGAATTCATACCTTCCGAATAGGCTCGACACATAAGGGAGCATTATCATTAATATCAGTGAGGACAACTGTGACATTTACAAATGTGACTTTCATCGGATGTCCATGATCGAAAGCCATAATCGTAAGTCTAAAAGGCACTTTTCCGTCTAAAATTAATCCATCTTTTCAGTCTAAAATTGATTAAAAAAAAAAAAATTGTGTCCTTCGCTAAAAAATGTGCGTAATAATTTGCAGGTAGCGATCTACCGATGAAAAGCCACTTCTTCGCGATCGAGTTTCGTCATAACTTGTAAAACACCAGTGTTCTCGTCAATTTGAAAATGATTCTGTGAATCGATTATTTGATATCCGACTTGTCCGTTGTCACCATAATCATTATCCTGGGCTAATACTGCTAGAAACTTGGTTCCAATTGTAGTATCTTCCGCTATATGCACGCGATAATAAGGCTGAAATATTGATAGAATTGGAAAACAGAATATTAACTATTGTTAGAAGAGTAAGAACCAAGATAAGAATCATATTTGATCTTTATCGAATTCTTCCCAGTTATAGAACAGTATCTTTGTTAACCAAATCAGTTACTTTTATTTCTAACTGAGTTCAAAAAGTTTTTAATACCTTCTCGAAGTGTGGCCTATATACATTGGCTTCAGTGATCAAGAATGTGACTGTTCCATTAGTGCATCGAACAGGTTGTCCCCAATCACAGGCAATTATTTCAACGATATATTCCATTTGCTTTTTTTTATTTTTGTTTCTCAAAAGCTCTCCCAATGGTGCCAGCAAAACGACTTCACCAGTAAATGGTTCTAGTGCAAAAAATTTATCGAAAGTGCCGAATCGTATCAAGCCGGCATAGCCCATATCATCGTCATGAGATTCAATTCGTCCCACCACCTTAAAGACTGATTTTAATCTAACTTCTACTGTATGCATAAATCGTCTTCATACAATTATAAACACTAATTCATTAATAAGTATGAGACATTATGAGTGACAGATTGATTACATCGCAGAGAAATGATATATAAATAACAAAAGGAACTCTTAAGGATTACTATTACTTCGCATTCATCAAGTGCATAAAAAAATCACAATATTATCATCACTTTTATAAGCACTTATATTGCCATACTGTTACTATTAAATGAAATTATGCATAATTTGAAGAACGAATGATTTAAATTTGAAATTCTTTCCTCCCCCTCGTCCTTAAATACTAAATATTTACTTCATCTACAAAATCAATTTCTTATTACTTTCAGCAATATCTCAGTGCATGCAGATTTATGTGGTGAGAGATGAAGAAGCGGAGAAATACTGATGCATTAGTTGAGAACGAAAATTTCAATTTAGTAAAGGAAGATACCTTTCCAGGTGGAGTATCCGCTGATACGACAAATACAGTTTGCTTCATGAAAACTGGTGAATGGTCGTTTTGCGGTTTTCGTAGAAACGATGGCTTCGTTTTCGGAGGTGGGTTTGTACCACTTATATATATGCTAATCAATACTTCACTACTTCGCGGAAACGGCCACCCGGCATCAGATGCTCTAATCCTAAGCTTCCATTGAGATTCATTATCTGGTGGTTTTTGCTGTAATACAACCTGAAAGAGTGAATTTTCGTTCCAACTTTCATATTCGATAAAGATATCATTTTTGAAAATTAAAAAATATGATTTTACTAAGCACACTGTTCTGCAAGTAGATGATATACTTCGCCTGAATCAGGGATGACAGTAAAGATCCTCATAATGGTAACAGTTTCACCGATCAGTTCATATCGGATGCGGCCATTTGCACCACTGTCGATATCCAGTGCTTCTGCTTTAAACAAAACTTTGTTGATCGGATAATTTCGAGATAAAGCTGCAAATTTAATTCAAATTTACTAATGCTTAAAAATGCCAATATTTATTTCCTGGATTAAAAAAGTCTTGGATTTAAAAAAAAAAAAAAAATAATATTTTTCAGCGAATCATTAAAACTGATGATAAAAATTTCATTTCCCTGGAAAAAATCTGAAATGCTTAGAATTCAAGCGTAGAAAAAACTAAGATGGCAATGACAGATCTTTCAACCAATGTGTCATGTCACCATGTTATTCATTGATATTGTGACTGTTTTTTGTTAAGACAGAGAATTTTTGTTTGCCTTTTAAGCTTTTCCTAGATAAATTAATCTGAGTAAAACAATAAAAGTTAAAGAAATATTGCAAAAAAAAAAAAAAACCCTCCATTTATTCTTCTGTACCAGAAAAATTAGAAATCTTATAAATAGCTTACCAATAGGGTCACCTCGAGTCCATTTCACAGCGAAAGTTGGACAGTGGTCATTGCTGTCTGCCACTATCACCTCTACCGCTTTCTTTGCTTCCAAAGTACTATCCAAAAGCTGAAAAAAAAAAAAAAAAAAAACTATTCCATCATGATATCTTCTAAACCATTCTCTCACCTAAGCTTGCCAGTAGTTTGCTATAAGTAAGATCTAATTAATTTATGAGATAAATATTTCATGGTTCACCCAGTCTTCCTCCCAATAATTGTATTGACTGATCTATAGTTTCCACATTGGAATGTTGAACAAAAAAAAATGCTAACCTTAGCAGAAACTTCAAAACGATAGGATGAAACATTTTCGTAGTCAAGCCATTTGATTACTCTTAAATATCCATTATTTTCATCAACAGAGAAGGGCTTGTCAGTGTTTGAAATTGAATACCTGTTAGAAATAGTTTTCTTAATTTATACTCCAGAATTAATCCTATATCAAAATAATGGCTTCCTACTTATTAATTATTAAAATATTCGCAGAATCAACCAACTGATGGATTTGGATTAACTTTGAAATTAAAGCATATGTTCTGAAAGTTTCCAGTTTCATTTTCCGACATAATTTTTAGCATAATACAGATCAGAAGAAAAATGACCGAATGATTTTTAAACTTTGCTAATATTAATTTATATTATAAATGTGGTATTGTAATATCAAACCTTATCTGCTCGTTATCTCCATCAATACCATTTACAACATGAGCTTTCAGTTGTGTCAAAACATAACCTAGCGGTACCGATTCATTGACAACAATTTGCATAACTTCTAAATTATCATCATATTGTACCAGTCGTTTGCCTTTCAATTGTACACTAATATTTTCCATCAGATTCTCGACGAAATCATCAACAGCGGTTGCTTTCAGCTGAATAAACCAATCAGCTTGCGGCCAAATACCTCCAATAATCTCGTTTCACCAAAACTTATGTTTAAATTTAATTCGTATTAAAACATTTCAAAATTTAAATCAAATCTGCCGGTTACACTAGGATCACCTAAAATATATCAGAAACTTGAAAAAAGTAATTGTTTATGGATTAATTAACAATTCTGAAGTCAATTTTTCCGATCACATACAAGAAATTAATATTTTCGAACAAACTAATCTGCCTAACAATGAGAGAAGACTACGGAAATGAGAAAATGAAATAAATGGTTATTTTACAAAAATTCTTACCAGAGATAGTTTCAACGAGCCAAACATTAGCACTGCTTGAATCTTTTTTCAGGACAAAAGCGCCAGCATATTCGCCATCGACGATTTCCAGTGTAGTAACAACATCTGCTGCCACTCCCTCTATTCTTGCTATCGCAACAGTTTGAGTAACATTCCATAAACTTACTGATATCGGTTTCACTTCAACGCTTAACTTTCGTTTATTTCTTTCCACTGGCTCTACCGTTATTACCTATAAAATCCTTAGATAGACCGCAATAGAAGATTGGAGAGGAAAAGAAGGGAAAAGGTATGAGTAGCACAGGTAAACAGCTATTTATCCTATTATATGTTTTAGACTAATTATGCTATTATATGCAACTAACACCAAAATTAACATTAAGACCGTACCTGAAGAATCATAATTCTTGATAAAAACTTGGAAGTTAGTGAGTTTCCTTAATAAAGTTTGAAACATTGGTTGGTAATGCAAAGGATACATTCACAGTTGTTGGTCCACTAAGAGTAGAAAATTTGCTGATTAATGAAAAAAGAACCGCTTTAGCTTTATTGTGATTGAAAAGATTATTTCCATTATCAGAGTGAGCCTTTTTCCTGAACAGCCTTGAAGCTCGATCCTCTGCTAAAACTATCAATTCATAAGTGCCAGATTCTAAGAGTCGCAAATTCCGAATAGCACCAGAAATCGGATCGACCATGAAATCAAGTGACCATTCCACTAACGAATAATAAATTTGGCTATTCAGAGCAACATCAGCATCGGAAGCTTGCACCTGTAGGATCGTGGTAAACGGTGATACCTGCAAAAAATTGCATATTCTATATAGAACCTTATCATTTACAACAACTTATCACTAGTTCAGACAGTACCTCAAGCTAAAACCTATTTTATAAGTTATATAATATGTTGTTGTCGCAAGGATAATGACTAAACGGTACAAAATTTTATAAATGTATGCATGTGCATGCATTCGGTTTTCAGAACTCAAAACTGGTATAGAAACAGACATTTTGCTTCACTTCAGTTCGATACTCGTCTTTCTCAAATATTGGTCCCGCATCATTTTGATCTCTTACAAATAAGTTAACCATGACTGTTGTCTCCAAGTTTGTCGCATCTTTTCGTCGACATGATGCTTTGATAAGAAATTCATACCGGTCCTAAATTTAAAACAATTCAAAGTTATTCTACTAGCTATGGGCATAACTAACCTTAAAAGTCCCGAAGTTACACACAGTGTTGTTGTTCAAATTATAAATTATGAATTCAAAAGTCACGATGATAAGCATTTGATATCTTCAAATGTAACTTAGTAGTATTACTTTGATATATCTTAATAATATTACTAACTTAGTAATATCATATTACTAATCAGTGAATTTTGGGCATTTTTTTTTTCCTAACCACAAACAGAAAATAGTTGTACTGATTGCATTAAGCGTCCTCACTTGCTTCGAAGGGTCAGTGTTAACACTTCAAAACTTAATTCAGTCATCGCTAAAGTAGTTAGTACTGAACTAGTTATAATATTCTCGATATGTCTCATTCCTCTTAATCCTTTTTTAATCATTTTAATACTAGCAAACCTTTAGTTCCCGGTTGAGTATACCATCATTTCGATATCGAATAAGCAAAAATGCAAAATCACCTACAGTCTTTACTTCAGCTTTGAAATATTGCCTGTCACCCTGCAAAATTGAAGTTTCATAAGACTAAAGTTTCGTAGAGATACGACAAGAGTGTTTAATTTGTTTTTAAAAATATCACATTTTGGTTGTACCTTGAAATTTGTTCTAATGTAATTAATTAACTTTGTGGTTCTTTGCTAAAGACTCGCAAAAAAATGACACAGAAAGAATTTATATGCGGCATATTTGATATTACCTCAACAATTCGAAATTTCAGAACGGCGTCATCGCTTGGCAATGGCACACCCATTCGAATAGGTTCATTTACGATTGCATAAATGTCTTTGCCACGGGCATTCTCTTCCAGTGAAACATTATAAACTGGTGCTGTAAACTGAAATTGTTTTTTGAAGTTTGTTTTATGAAAAAGAACTGTTTAATATCTCAGTATAGGCTCAGTTTTATTTCTCAAAATCCTTTGAGGAGAATTAGTGGATAAGTCATTTACTTCTTATCAGATTCGAACAACGTATGAAATAAGATATGTAACTAATGGACGTGAAGAAATCACTGAGAAACTAAAATAACTGTAAAAAGATAATTCATATTTTGCATTAAATTTCTAGTTGTATTGGGTGGCTCTTTGTATTTTGCTTAGTTTTCTTCTGTTTAAATTTTCTCTATTTTCTACTCAAAGTACTTTATATTAATTAAATTTTGGTATATTATTGTTAATATATTAGTCAATAAACGTATATATACCTGAAAAGTGTCGATTTTACGTCTATAATTCCAAGAAGATCCGACAAGACTGAACAATAAAGGAGCTAAGAGCAGTAGACGACGACTAGCCATTGGCCAGTTGCAGTTCTATGGACACTATGAGGTAATTATTGCTCAGAAAAATAAAAGTACCAAGGATAGGATTATCAGTGGTAATAATAGCAGTTGAGGCAAACATAAGCAGTGATAGCAATAGGCACAAATGATAAGATGACCTTGAAATGGTAGACTGTTATTTCCTTCGGTTGTTTAGCAGATAGCTACGAAATGGCGAAGAAACAAAGTTTTGGAAATTTTTTTTAACAGCAAAATAATTCCACTGCTTTGTCTCTTCTCATTCTAAAAATTTGGAAGCCAATAAATAATCGGCAGAGCAATATATCCGAATAATCTTAAGCAAATGAAAATATGACTTGAATACAACGATTATATTATTTAGTCATCAAATAGATTGTATAAGCAGTGTTTTCATAAAAAAGTATACAAATAGCACAAAATATTTTACTACAAACAGTTTCTATGTTATACAGATGAATCTCATTCTCAGCAACTCTTCACATCAATCAACGATGATAACATACTTTTTTTAAGACAATTTTTCCATCTTTAAAACTTTAATAAAATATAAGACTTTTTTGCAGAAGGCAGTAAGAATTTGAAGAAAATGAAAGCACGTGTTTACTGAAAAGGAGCAGAAAAAAAAAAGAAAAGAATTTGGTGGAAAAAAAGAAAAACAAACTTAGAATTCAAACAAATTGAGCAATCAGAAGAGAAAAGCAATGTCATTGCTGACTGAATAGAATTAGGTTTCGATTAAAGAAAATCTTTCAATCAGAAGAAAATTTTTGGCGTCCCTAAGTAGATACATATCATAGTCACATGAATTAATGTATATAGAAACTAGTCCAACAAATTTTTTCTTTTCTTAAGTAGATTGTTATCTTATGTGAAAATACTTTCATCCAATTTATTCATTCTTCCTTTAGAATCTTTTTGATTTAACTTTGAAGCTAACCATTTCTGTGGAGCGATATTTGAATTATACAGCCAATTGTAGCAAATTCATATGCATACAAATATTTTAATTCCGATTCAATTAAATTCAAATAAAAAAAGTAAATTGTGCACATTGAAAAGAGTGAAATTGTTAAATTTTTGCATTATTTAGTATCATATTGTTGTACATATCCATTGCGACCTCTCAGATTTTTTTATTCCTTTAAAATTTGAACTTTTGAAAACGAAATGAGAAAGATTTGTATAGAAAAAGTAGGCAGATAAATGAAAATGTAATATTCAAGTAACTAAAGTCCATCTGAGTGTTTAGACTTATTAAAAAAGTGTAAACTGCTCATGAAATAGATTTCAGCATTGAATCAAATCATTTAGCCGATTAAGATAAAAATTAAGCATAACAAAATAGGTATATAAAATTAAGTTACCACATAAAATCATTAATCAGCTACTTAGTATGAGTTCATTTCGTCGTATTTTTTGGCATATCAATTAAAATTTGAAGCTTTGGAATAATTTGGTGTAATGAAAGTAATTTACTTACTTTCTGTACAGCTTCTACCCTTTTCACTATCGTTCTTATCAATAATCAGAGATAAGAAGTGGTAGAACAAAATAGATATGTTGTCTATGTTTCATTAGGAAGCAAAAAATGAGCAAGCCGTGAAGGGTGTGATACTGACGTTGACATATGATTGCTGTAGGAGGAGTGAGACCAATGAAGAGGTCATCTGGTCACTGTGTGGGAAAGAATGAAGGTTGACCCTTGGTCTTCAATATTATTATATAGGATGGTCTCTGCTTTTTGCCCTATAGAGGGGACCCTCTGTCTGATCATCCCATCTCATTTTCGGTTCAAGTGGTCACACTGCTTTCGCGCTGCTTCTTTACTCATTTATCATTATCTATTAAGATCTTTAATTTAGCTAACACTACTACTACTACTACAAGGGGCTCTCTCTTTCTCTTTCTTTACTTGCTATATCAGTCTTCCTTCAAAGTAACGCTTAACTTTTATTCCATGAAATGCAAAATGAAAGAGATTATGCAGCAATTAGAAAAATAAGCAAGCAAACAAATCAAACATTTCATGTTCAAATCACTATGCTATCAAATTTCAAGTGAAACACTGATAACAGTATGGTGCAGAGGAGAAAGAGGAAGGCACTTGTTGCATATTTAATTTTGCTCTAAATAGGAATTACGGCCTTCTATCATGCATTAAAGTAAAGTGAAGAAGTAAAGAATAGTGCTTGATGAAGAAATTAAATTGAATAGTGATGGACAGCACAGCACAGCACAGCACATTCTTTCCATTACATCTAACGGATATGCTTTTTTAAATGTATCAGCAAATGAATAATTTGCCCATTGGGAATTAAATTACATTATGCAGTTTGAAAAGAAACCATTCAGACCATATTGTACGACTCATTGCTCTTCAACTATTTTATAATTATGTAACTTTTTTAAAAGCACTACAAAGGAATAATGTTAAGCAAACTTTGCTTTAATCTATCAAGCTAAATTGCATCTATTTGAAGATGTCTTAAAGACAACAAATCGAAGATTATTCAAATTTTTGAATTATTTTGAAAAGTGAAAGTTTAAATTTCGGTGTAAGACAGTGACAACCTACTTAAATGTTATATATATATATATATATATATGTCAAAGTATATATGCTAATTGTTCAAGATTAAAATTTTAAGAAAAAAATTTGAATATTTTTATTGTTAAACAATAAAATTGTCTGCATTATCATCGCTGCTGGCATGCGTTTACGTATTGTTCACAAAACCTAGTTTTGTTTACTTGTTTACCCGAAAATATGTTTAGAAATTTCCAGTTGATCTGAAAGAATGTTATTTCTTCCTTTCTTCTCCTCTGTTTTCAATTTACTATTATTGTCCCTTTAACGGAAGCCATGGCATCGTTTCACAACTATTAATATCATCACAAATTCACTGAAATCTTAAGACACTGATTAATTGATATGGAGTTTGATAATGATAGCAAATATTAATGATGTTTTAGAGGATTTTAAGGGACAAATGGATGGATATAGTTTGGAAAAGATTCCGTTTCAAATGAAGTCATAGAAGCTTTGTACTATCCATTATTTAGTTAATTTCTTTTTGTCTTTTGAGGCATATTTTGGCTTTTGACATAAGTAGAGTGGATTTAGTCAAATTCAATGTCCTCAGACTAATTTTTGTACCAAATAATATTCTGTAATGACGGAAAGATCAAGAATTATTGGTAAAATGGTTTACTAATATGAAAATAGTATGTTTTTTGATGGAATCAAAAGCTGATGTTACCAAAAGACTTAAAAAAAGTGCATGAAAATTAAGGTTTTACAGATCATATTGTCTTCCTATGATAAGAAATACTTCGTTGAGTAAACGGGAAATAAATGCTACCACAATCTTTTTGGAACTTGAGAATACTTCTTCACTTAAAAAGGCTGAGTCCAAAAGTTCTTATCCTTTGGGATTATTAGGAAGAAGAAAAGTGAAGACAAAAATGAAAACTCTATGCATTAGCTAAATGATTTGTGGGCTTGTTGCCTTATCTTGGTTATATTTAAATTTATCAGTGACCAGATCCTTTTTTTTAATTTTTGGTAAGGAGAATTAAAGACTTTAGAAAAGATTTGCAACATAATTTCTACTTCTCCAAATTTGATAGAAGTCATTCAATTATGCCCTCAGTAGAATTTTTCAGTTTTCAGGGAAACAAAATCTGAATTTCATGATGACGTTCTAAAATAATTTTAAAAAAAAGGCTCTTTTGTCTCATTCATCCCTTCCTTCGACCAAATACCATATCAGAATTAATTCTCTCTCGAATTACAATTAATAAACAAATGTGTGGCATGATTTACCAAAATAACTTTCGAAGTTAATAAGATATGGAAATTCTTTAGGATTCTGCAGATAGTGAACAGTTACCGGAAAAATATGATATACATGATTAATTGATAGTGAGAAATATGTTGCCATATGGTCTGCTGCTGCTGCTACTACTACTATATGATCCTTCAATCACTGGTAATAACGATATGAGCGATTTCTTTTAATATAATATAATCATTATCCATTTGATAAATGATAAGTGAGAAGTTGGAATTACTATTCTGATAAATTTAATTTGTATGAACAAAACAATGCTTATAAGAACTCAATGCACAAGTTCGAATTGCTTCTTATGCAATGAGAAATGTTGCAACTTTTTGTGTATGAAATTATTAGATAAATTCTATGAAATTTTGAGATGTAAATTCTATTTAGTTCTGAGACAAAACTCAAGAAATCGAGAGAGAGAATATCATCACTATCACTATAGCTTATTCCACTAAAATTATTTGAGGCGCCGCGAAGGTCGAGTAAACAACAGAATGAGAAGTGAGCTTACAATCAACACTGCTACAGTGAACAGCTTAAAGCGGTCCTCTTCAAGTGGACGAATGAATAACCTTCTCATCACTACTCTCTTTTGTATTGTATACATATCATAAAAATTTGAACAAACAACATAAAAGAAATACGATCTGTCACCCTCCCTTTCGCCCTCTCTCTCCCCCTCTCCCTCTCTCTAGGGTGCAAACGTCGTTGAAATATTCCATTTCCATCTCACCATAATAATAAAAGTAATATTTTCTGGCTTAACTTTGAGTTAGTATATTAAAAATTGACGAAGAGTTGCAATTTGCGCTTTCTGATGAAGGCAAAGAAAACTGTGCACAGCATGAAAGAATTTTTCAAGAAGCTAATGATTTACAGATTTTGAATTCGTTCACCAAAACAAGATCCTCTGAAATAAATGCGAAAAAATGAATCACCTTTCATAATTTCAATTTATTATTGCAAAGATTATTACTGCAAAAATTAATCTTTAATCTTGTCAAAGTTTCAACACATTATCTAAGAGTTTAGTTTGATTGCGAAGCTTCCAAAACTATTAGCTCAGAGCGAAATATCTTCCTCACTTTTTCAACGATATGAATAAATCAAATATAGGACCACTGAAAATGAGCAGAAATGAATTAATGGAAATGAATTAATTAATGGAAATGAATTCCGATGACATATTGTCTACCGGTCAGTTATATTAGCATATTCGCCATATTTTACTAGCCATTTTCGAAGAAAATAAAGGTTATGTTTTCAATTATGAAATGGAAAAATTAAATTGACAGACTCATTCTTTTCAATAATTGTTTTCAGTGAGACAAATTTAATTAAAAGGAAATAAGTAGAAATAAAGTTCTAAAATTCTACAATATTTACATAAGAGTAATATTAAGGAAGAACGATAGAATTCAAAGAAACAAAATAGATATAATCGTTTTCAATGATATTATTTAGAGCATCGGTTTAAGACACTAAAAAGTGCGACGAAATGGCAATAAAGTCCCTCTACTAACTCTCTTCTTCCTCCTATCGTCATCTTAGTGGTAAGCAAGAATAGACAGAAATTGTTTGTTATCACTGACCTGTCGTACCAATCCAACATATCAGTGCAAGTGATATCTGTCACAATGTATGTTCGGCAACACTTTTATGTTTGTTTTATGATTAACATTGTGATTATAGCACTGAATTATTTACGCTGCAATTTCGAATAGTATTATTAAAACTTAGCCGTGCTTTAAATATAAAAGTATTGAAAAGGCAAACTATATATAAAAGTATTGAAAAGGAATTTTATCGTCTAAATTCAAATTTAGGATAGTGATAACAAATCAATGTGGCGCAACTGTTACTTGAAATCTTGCAAAATGTATTGCAGTGGAAAATGTTTTTATGATATTCGAGATATTGTCATTTTCCGAGGTGAAGGAATATATTATCGGGATAATTATGTATTTTGAAATAATAAGCTTACCATCCACTTTTGCATAAATTTCTTCTCAATAAAAAAAAAGCTAAAAATATATAAAATTCAAAACTGCTTCGTAATTTGTATTTCCATCAGCCAAAAAATAAAATTAAGCAGACGATAACAATCTTTTTAATTAGAGGAAAAAGCTCCTTTCATTTCAACACGATTTTTAATTTATGGAAAAAAATGTGAAAAAGTGCACCTATAAAAAGAATGTTATTCGCTGTTTGAAAGAATCAAGAAATTCTCTGAGTTGATAGTCTCGTCGTTTGATACAATATAATCGATTTCTTAGAGATTTTTTTTTTTTGAAGACAGTTTCTGTAGAGAAAGTTCCATCAAAACGATCCAAAAGAATTTATTAATTTTCACAGTTGAGGAAGGTGTAGAAGAGGTGATGGACAAATGTATTTTTCTTCATAGAAAAGAAAACTGAGAAGATATGAGGGAAGGAAGATAAAAAGAAAAAATTTTGTCTCATTTTTGAAAACTGTGAAATGAAGCTATTTAGTGATAAAGCTGAATGAGTGTACACATGAACTTCTCCTCAACATATATAAGCAAATTAGTCGAAGGAAATGAATAAAACTTTTTTTTTAGGAAGAAAGAGAAAAAAATCAGTTAATTCAATCGAAAAGAAATGTCTGCTTTTGTGGTTATATAACGCATTCTGTGCACTCTTTTGCTTTTTATTCGCTTTCTCTTTGAAATCCCGAGAGATCACTCTGTGCACCAAGAAAAGAATGGAGAGTTACGAGGGAAAGCCTATTATAGCCATTTCTTTTTTCTTGCAACTTGTAGTTTTGTCAATCTTTTAAACTCCATACTTTCAATGCCACAATTATATTACAACAAGATGAAAATTGAGAATTATTTTCAAAATAATTTGAGTTGATGTTCATCTTATGGCTCTACGTTAAATGAAATATCAGTTAGATAGTTTTCAATGATTACATCGTTATTCTCAAAGCCAACGCATTGATTGAATGCACTCTGAAAATTTTAAAAATGGTTACAGAATATGATTTTGACATCTCCAAAAAACTATTCTTGATAGGGAATGTAGAAAACTTGAAGAAACTACAGTTAATCGATCATAAAATGTCAATTTGCATAATATTCATCTCGTTCATTCTTTTGAGACCTGTTTGGCAGGATTTTTTGTAGACTGTTCGAAATGCTAGCTAATATTTAAATGTAATAAAAGAAGAAAGGAACAACTTTTAATAGCAGGCAAAATGCAGAGAGAACGAACAGTGTACAACAAACATAAACAAAATATATATTTGATGGGGAGCCATCTTTAATGACCGTTAGGTTAGTCAGTGAATATTTGTGACTAAAACATAGTTCTTAGTTCTAACCATTCCTAAATCGATTCTCGAACAATGTTCGACTATTTCTGGACCAAAACGTGATAGAACAGATTCAGCTGTTGATAATGTTCTGATAATATCATTTCATTTCAAGCAAATAAATTCATATCTTTAGTTATCGGGTCGCAATCTCAGTACGGAATGCATTAAAGTTTAAAGAGAAAAAAAAAATCATAGAATTGAAGAGATGTATTCATTTATCGAATTATTTTGATGAAAAAACTGTTTTTGGTGAAAGGTACAGAATGGTTGAAGATTTGAAAAAAACTGTTAAAGTTTACCATTGCTATTATAAGTAACAATAGTTTGTCGAAAAGTAAATTCTTAACTGTAAGATGGATAATCCTTGTGGCATAGAAATCTAATCTATTTACACATTAATTGAATTAGATTTTTGCTTGGACGGGTAAGAGTTGACCAATGATATGCAATCAGTTGGAAAGAGATGAGAAAATGCATTCATTCAGAATTTCCTTGTATATTTAAATTTACATGGTTCAAAACAAAATAAAGCTTAAAAATGAGATGTTGATAACAGATATGAAAATTGGGAATTAAAAATCGAATTAAAAAGAAAAGATAGTTGTTTTGACAGGTGCTGGAGAGACGATAAGAAAGAATATCCTATGATGATAATTAGGGGCAATGAGTAAACGTCGGACGATCTATCCTAATGGTCATCTACAGAGGCCATTGCAAGGCGTAAATAATGCTATAAATTACCTCAGAGACAGCGCGAACAATAATTTCTTTGTATGTATGTGTGTGTATGCGTGTATGTAGCATGCATGTGGTGTGTGTATGTGTGTATGATGTATGGTGTATGTATGCGTGTTTGTGTGTCTGGGTGTGTCGTACAGATATGCAAATTCAGTGGTGCGGCGAAAGAGTGGAAATGCGTGGGCTATTTGCTGCAGTAATTGTTTCCGGAGTACGCCGAAGAAAGGTCTCTTACTGGCTGCGGAAGTCCTGGATAGCTTAATTATGCTTATTGCTTAGAGATAGATGGATCTTGTCCGGAATGAGAGATGATTCGTCCGAAGTGTGATGTGTCGTACTTGTCCCTTTAAATCTTTCATTTCTCATTGAGTTCTTAAATTTGAATAATCTAACTGACCATGTGGACTGAAAACAGAATAACAATAAAGTGTGGTCAAAAAATTTGTTTACATAAAATAACACTATCGCATGCTTCAGAGAAGTATTCCAATAGTTCTCTAACCCATCCATACTGCCAAAAGTTGGAATTTCATCGGCATTTCTCAGTTTGCTGAGCTTAAACCTCCGGGGAATGTCTCGTTACAAGTCGTTATGACTCATGTGGTATAAATTGAAGGAAATTCTATCCAAATAGGTGATTAATTTATGGTTGCAATTAAAAACAATCAGTGACCTAAATGACATAATGAAGTGTCCAGTGCTTTACATTTAAAAGAACGATCGTACTTTCATTATTGTCGTCAGTACAGTGGTTACTCAAAGAGATTTCAGCGCAACTACTCCCACACTTTCTTCAACTTTGTTCAACAATTGTCACATTTAAAAAGTTTTGTTTTTCAGTTTTACGTGTAGTACTAAAAAAACATTTCAAAACGTGAAGAATAGCGCCACGCGAACATAATGAACCAATTCCATTTTGCTCTGCAAACAATAATGAAACTAAATAATCATTCAGATATTAGCCAGTTTGGAAAATATTTCCTACTTTTCTAATAAAAGATGAAATTTGAAGATATTTAATGATAAAGTAATTTGAAAATGAATGAATTTTGTGAATTTGACACTGCAAGAAAATTGTATCAAAACAAGACTAAAATAGTTGTAAATTAGGTAGTGGCTGATCGGAAGTATGTTGAGAGTTATAAATGCTCTCTGAATATGTTCCATCATTAGGTTGTCATAGGTCGACATTGCAAGTTAAAAGTTTGGGTTGGTATGTCGCCTGGAGAAAGAGGAACATTCATCGTGATGACACAGCTCGGGAAATATCGCGGGTAGTGGAGCGGGCTGGCACTATCCGAATGGAATTTTTGACCTTCACTCTACATGTGTTATTTTGTACTGCAAAGCTGTGTGGGATAGAGTAAAGTGGTGATGGAATGCACCGAAAGAATGCTTCTGCGGCGTTGGCGCATATACCCAAAACGGCTATTGTATGGCAGATTGAGGGTTTTATTGTAGGAAGAGACATTTTCCCACATTAATTTCAAATATGAAAGGACTCAAGCGATCCTAGGCCAAGCTTTGCCCAATTGTTTGTCTTTTGATAGCCACGGATGCTTTGTGTAAAAATTTTGGAAAGTTGGAGTCAAAAACATGAACGGCTTCGATAATTCTAAAAATTACAAATGAAATAGAAATTCAATTTTTTAGGAAGTTTTTTTGAACGTCTATACAATCTTTTTACTTACTAATTAAAATCTCACTGCTTTATCTCATCCTGTCATCCTCTGTCCTTAAGATAAAAAAGCTAACATTAGACTTTCTTTAATTATGAGAAACTATTCCTGCATCCTCAGTAAAAGATTCAATTAAGTAAATTAAAGAGTTGGTATGTATAGCTGAGTAAACATTTTGTCATCTTTCAAAAAGTAAACAGCAGATTCGATAAGAACTATTCAATTTATTTCCACTCAGATAACTCAGATTATTTGGTGCACTACCTGTAACACTTCATTATAACAAACGACATTAATCAAATATCCACCAAGATTTACTATTTGCAATGTAATATACCTATAATACAAAAACGAACATACAAATAAACAATCTACAAGACATGCTATCAGTGATATGAAATAACATAGATGCTATGACAGGAGTATATAAAAGAGGGCAGGTGCGGAATCCTTCTTAATGATTAAACTTATCCTTTACTAGTAACAACATGCAGTTCAAATAGTAACACCAAGATGCATTTTCTCCAGCACATCTTTTGTCACTATTATCATCATTATTAATCATTCCCATTCATTTTTTAAATTGTTTTTTGAGGTCTCAAAAAAATCAGACAAGCGTAACAATCGTATCGTCACTGACGATAACAAATGGCATGCAAGGAATTTGCATTGCATGTGATTATTATCTTTTCCTTTTTTTCCGCATTTTTTTCCGCTTATCAATCATTATTCACAAAGACGATTCTATTCGCTTCCATTTCCATCTTCTCTGCTCTTTAATATCTTTCATAAAATATTCCATTTCCCCTTTGCAACATCACAACAAACGTAATATATTGTGATTTATTATGATATCATAATAACGATTGTGGTCAAAACACCAAGCTACACTATTTCTAATCTTTCACTAGTTTGATTATGATGCCTTCTCTGAAAAGGCATTTGAACATTTCATGAAAATTTTCAACTGTTTATCTAATACTTGGTGTACCTGACACATTATATAAAATTGTTCCATCTAACAGCTAGTTCTTTACTGTTGGATATTTTTAAGCGACCAGTATTTACGCTTCTAAAATGCTAGGATGAAGAAGGTCATAAAATCGCATGAAATTACTTTTTTTTGAAGTGTACGGAAACTTAAAACCAGAAAAGACGATCAACATTTCTGCTTATTTCTTTACATAAATATTTAAGTAAATGAATTAGTTACTTTCCTTACTTTTATTTCAGAAATGGAGCCCGAGCAAGTGCGAAATTTGATTCTGTGATACATCAATTAAAATTAGCAGTATACGGGTACCCACAGTGATAAGCTATTTGCGACATTGTTATTGTAAGGAGGGAATTATGCGTTATATTATTATTCAAAGCAAATGGAAATCTTCTCTGTTTATATCCGAACTGGGAAATCCAAAGACTCTCAACGAAAGACATACATATTGTAGGATGGCAAGTTTATCGGTAATGATATGTCCTCGTGCTTCGTAAATTAATCTGAACCAATTGTAAATGGAAAAAATTGTGTATTGAATATTATCTTAAACTACTGAAGATTAGCTAATTTTTTCGTTACTAACTGACAGGAAATCCACAGTAATTGGTAGGTGCTAGATGGAATAATAAACGAGCCTTGTGGCATTCCTGTTTAAAATATCGAATATTTTAGTACATAGAGAAGATTGTAAATAGAGAAAATTTGCATATTAAATACAATTAAGGCTAAAACATTCAACAACTTCAAAGTTGGGTAGACGAACTGATAGTATTATTTCGTTATTTTCGTGTGATTCAGCAAATATCGGATTACTAACATTAAAAATGAGATTTCATGCTTAGAGCACACTAAATTCTCATTATCGTAAAGCATTCTCATCAATAAATTTGTTATGTAATCACACATTTCAGACTGATCTAGAAAGATTCTAACAGTATCAAATCAAAAAAATTTTTTTACAATTTAATAAATACCCATCGATAAGTTAGGCCGCAAATATCTTTCAACTTCGAAGTTATAAAAGTTGACAAATTTGCATTTTCATATCGCAGTGTAGAAGGAGAATGAAGCACATTTTGCGTTTTCTTTCTACACCTCACAGCAAACATAAGTAGATGAATGAACTTTCAGGTCTAGCAACCAAGTATCCTGTTTTCTAGAAATTTTCTTGTTGTTATCAATGAATTATTTAATGAAGATATGATATTGCTACGGCATTTTTTTATCTATCTTTTTTCAGTTCTTTGTTGGAGTCTTAAATTGCAGCAGCGTATTAACAGTATCGTCTTATCACCATGCATTAAATTAATTCTTAAAAAGCGATGATAGGTAAGAATATAACAAACCAAATTATGAGTAGAAATGCAAAAAAAAATCATTTAGATAGTTAGTAGGAGGAAGAGTAAAATTGATTCTATAAATAGTGCGAAGACGTTTTCTTGAAATGAAAGTGGAGGAAAGATTTGAGACGGTGAAAGGGAGAGCAATCAAAGAAGTGAATGAATCATTATGAAGTATGTATTTCGTCATGAATGACCATACGAATCGACTAATAATTTTCTTTAAAAAAAATAATAGAAGATTTTTCTTTCCTCAAAATAGCAAAATTTACAAATAATAATTTTTTGGCTTAAAATTTGATCGAACTATTCATATTTGAAATTTATGGAAACATTTTCAACTATTTTACATTTTACCATTTGTGCTTCGCAGAAAGTGCTGATTAAAGAAACATTTTGTCTTCTCTAAAATTGAGATGCAGTTTGCTTAAGCAAGAATAAGCTGTTTAAAAACAATCAATTCTTGGACGCATTCAAATTTTGAATGAAAAAAATTTGCGTATTTAAAAGTCTCGCAAGACCCTTTTATTATTAGCATTATTTATTATTTATTATTATTATTTTATTACTACTTTATGTATGAATAAATAATTATGAGAATCTATGATTACTGATAATTATAAAAATACCAGCGAATAGAAAGTGCGATGAGTGAAAAAAATTTTATATCAACTAAATAGCTAAAAGATTAAGCTAGTAAAGCTTGTAAATGGAGTAAGCTCTCAATAATAGGTAGCAATTTGCTTCTGAAATAAATTGCAATCAATGGAGCTAACTCATAATATTGGCCAAAGAGTGAGTGAGTTGCTTTCCTATGGTCATCTAAACAATATTTAGTGCTCTTCTTCGATGACCACTCTCAGCGCTATTTATTAGCCTTTCACATTACAATTGCGCATCGGAGAAAGAAGGAAGAACTGAAAATATCATCTTTTGATATACGTCTATGTGCAGGAGAAATCATGAAATTACGAGAGAAAACTATGAAAGGTTTTTGAAGTAGAATAAATCAGCGATGAGAAAGATGTTGATCAATCAGAATTCGCATAGCGCTAATGAACAACCAGCGCCAGCCGAATGACCCATTATAGGTATGATTTAGCAAGGGCGAGATGGGTTATTTTAAATGACTCCGCAGCAAAGCTTCGCTTTTGTTTTTATTGAATCTCGATGGAACTTAATTAATAAATACGCAGAAGTTATCCTTTAATGAAACTTAGAGTTGATTAGTTGAATCTCAATGAAATGAAGTTTTTGCAGGAA